AAATAATCAAAATTTCATCTAAAAATGGCCATTTTCAATCGAATTTTGGCTGAAATGTAACAAAATAATCAATTTCTCACGAAATAATGGCCATTGCCATTGATAATTTGGCTGGCATCGATAGAAAATGGCTATTTCTATACAAAATTTGGCCAAATTTATGGAAAATGATCACTTTTTAACCGAATTTAGCCAAAAATCTTGACATTTTCACTGAAATTCCGCTCAATTTCAATCTAAAATGACAAAAAGTGACTGCTTTTATACGAAATTTGTCCAAATTCATGGCAAATGACACTTAATCAACCCTATTTTACAGAAAATGTGGCCAAAAATGGTCATTTTCACATAGAATTTGACCGAATCTAACAGAAAAATAATTATTTCAGTCTTAAATTTGACTCAAATTAGCATCAGACAATCGAATCAGATGAATATACTCTGCAAAAGCACTAAATTAAGCGATACCCGGTTCCTTGAACGCGATGCTTGACGTTGGGGCTCTGTAGAATTCGGTGCCGAGTGACGAGAAGTCCATACGTGGTGACATTCCATACGAAGAGTATGAACCACGGCTGTAAATTTAAATGATTGCTCGATAAATTAACGAATTCGAATGAATTTTAACGAATCTCAAGGAAAATCCCGTAAAATTTAGCGGATTCCGTTAAAATTCCGATAAAATATAAAAGATTCTCCTAAAAATACCACAAAAATCAACTAAATTTAACAACTTTTGCTAAATTCTCACCTAAAACTAACGAATTTCAGTCAAATTCATCAAAATGTAAGGAATTCCGCCAAAAATTCCACCAAAATCCATCAAATTTTACTCGATCTCTATGAAATTTGCCAAAATTATCCAGATTTTACACGAATTCTACCCGAAAAAAGCCTCTAACCTTAACAAAATTAACGATAATCATCGAAAAGTTACCGATAACCACCAAAAATTACAGATAACCGCTCAAAAACTACCAAAAACCACCAAAAATTACCGATAACCACCATAAAATTGCCAATAACCATCAAAATTTAACGATACTCACCGAAAAATTACCAATACCCACAAAAAATTACCGATAATCACCAACAAATTACCGATAATCACCAAAAAACTACTAAAAACCACCAAAAAACTACCAATAACCACCAAAAAACTACCAAAAACCACCAAAAAACTACCAATAACCACCAACAAACTACCAATAACCATCAAAAAATTACCGCTAACCACCAACAAATTACCAATAACCACCCAAAAACCCAACGCACCTCGCTATATAATCATAATCCGAGTGTGGATACAGCGACGGTCCCACACCCGCCCCCGCACCGAGACTCATGCCACCCGCAGAGGGTATGGCAGAGGCAGTGCCCCCGTAGAAACTCTTATTGGAGAGTTTAGTGATGTCGTTGATGAGCATTCTGTCGGTGGCATCCTTTCTGCGACGACGTTCGTTGACGAGTTGGTCTTTGATGGCTTGCAGCTGGTTCTCGAGCTGTTTGATGCGGTTGCGTTGCGTGCGGTCGCGATTCTCGACGATACGCTCGTACTGAAACACTTTTTTTGAAGTTACGACGTTAATTTGGTAAGTAACGGCGTTACTTTCAGTTCGTTACTTTCAAATCATCACTCTCAAATCGTTACTTTTAAAGTTACTTTCTATCGTTACTCTCAACTCTCTACTCTTAAAGTTACTTTCTATCGTTACTCTCTACTCTTAAAGTTACTTTCTATCGTTACTCTTTACGTTACTTTCTGTCGTTACTCTCTACTCTTAAAGTTACTTTCAATTCGTTACTCTTTACG